GCGCCGCGCTCGACTTCTGCTAGGCGCGGTTAATCCGGTTAATTAAAATGACCTCTTAATTGCACGGCAGCGCCACACTCGACTACTGCTAGGCGCGGTTCATTTCGTTATTTAAAACGGCCAGCGCCGCTCGTTCGCAAAATGCACCGCGGATGGCACCAAATTCTCACGAAGAAGCCACAACTATAGGAAAAAAATTTTGCAGTCAAATTTAGCGACAGTCTGGCAACACTGACCCTCCCAGTCTGGCAACCATTTATGCAATGCCAAAAGGAATCTTGCCCCGAAGTGTTCCGTAACCGCAAAGGCTATTTCTGTTTTTCTATAACACGACGACATTTTCCGTCTTTTTCGGTAAAAAAATTGACTCGGTGCTGTGTCTGTGTGCCTCGTCTATCCTTTTGTCCCGTCTAGGGTGCTGTTTCTCGCTCAGAAAGGCATCGCTTGTAGCACAACGCTACGTAAAATTACACAGACATAAAAAAGAGGTGCCCCTATCACGGGTTTTTTTTATCTGCTTCACCATCGTGCAGTGAGACACTGCTGCACCCCGCGAGACAAAATTCTGCTGAGGGCAATGTTCTGACCCGCGCTTTTTTTCTTGTTTACCAAGCTCAACAAAACGATACGAATCACATTTGTTCCCAGAACTTGTTTTTTTTTTTTCATAATAACTGCCACCTAGCCCACTACAGGCATGCACACAGGTGAACAGAAAGGCAAATATCGTGAAAATCGTGTCACCTCGTGAGCCAGGTCAGCACAAATACATGCCATGGCGTTCGATTGAAAAAAAAAAAAACGATGAAAGAACCCAACGCGATGCTTGTTTCGCATCCAAACAAGAACCGTGGAGAAACGCGCCGCATTTGGGTGGCCACTAATACCAGCGAGCAACGAACGCTTTACAAAAGCAACACTGCGCATCGCTGTGGCGGCAGGCACCATGTGCCGCTTGTTAGCCGTAAAATGGCAAGAATATGCTTGTGGCCCTTCGTTTTTATAGTTATTTTAAAACGTGTGGTCTTTTTTTACTGTAATGCATGCCTTACACGAACAACTTCATTATTACCCTCGTTAGCAGGCGAGCAGTGTGTTTCTACTTTGAAGCTCGTTCTTGACTTGACCAAGTAAGACAGCCTAAGCATCTATCAAACGCGAAGGCTGACTTAAGCGTTTTGAAGTCCGCTGCTTGCTTCACGCTGACTTGCTCAAGTTAAGTTCAAGTCGCGAGCCAAGTAACATCTCTGCATTCGGGGGTTAGTCCCTGATTCTTCGAGTTCAATACACAGTTCTCACGAAATGGTTAGTCGCATAGATTAGAGGAGTGGCAGGGCCTCACCAACATCAATGGCTGGACGCCCGGCGCAAAGCATGGAGGTTGATACATTTGTCGTTGCCGTTGGCGTTGTGCATGTACACGACCGGTTGTATCAGCAGCCTTCCTAGGCTCCTGGTAGACGCTGGGTTGACACCGCATTTGAAGCGGGCTGGTTGACGCTGCATTTGAAGCGCTGGCTCTGAAGTAGAGTCCTGATCGGACAGCCTCGTCTGAGCTCGAGCCCGAAATCCGACTGCTCAGGCCTGTCCAGAAGCACGAGATTGTCAGCGCAGCCAGGTACCCATGGAGCCCCTCAGGTCATTGGATCATGGAGGTAGAAGCCTTGGCTCAGGTCCGGAAGCCGATCGCCCTGATGCATGGCTCGTCTTCCTCTTGCTTGCTTGTTTTTTGCTGCCTGTAAACACTGGCACATACCCACTGTGTTGTAGTGGCCAAGAAAGCTTGTAGTTGCCTACACGTGAACTATATGACTGTCAGTCTCTCACTAAGAAGAACAAAGAAAAGAAAGAATCTTTCAAAAAATAATCTTTCAAAAGAATCTTTCAAAAATAAAATGATAATACAATAAAGATTAATCAATAAAATAAAAGGAGGGCTAATACTATATCATAGTGCTGAAATTTTGAGTAGACCACTGACAGTTGAGTTTACCTCACCCGGTCAAAATCGAATATATGTCCAACATTCATTCACATTACCAGTTATATCATAATGTTCATCATGAATAGTATATTAAAGCGGACGTTATATTGGCATGCATTTAGATTCTTGAAATATTACATATTGCACCAAATACGTTTCTATGGCAATGTACCGAGCCGGAGGCGCCAAAACTGAGAACATTATCTGCAATTAAACAGAAACCTACTGCGGAAAACGGAATAACTAGAATGTTTTTGAATTTATTAATAATTTCGGCATGATATTAACTAATGCTCAATTGTTACTGTTTCTTTGCAGTATGGGCACAGGGGAGATATCGCCAGACCAGCTATGTGTAAATAAAAGTTGAATGGGAGGACACGGTATCCAAATTTAGTCAACTCATAACTTTCTAGATGGACTCCACTGAGATTTGCAAGGATATCTGAGGTTCTGATAGCCTGCCCATTTAGTAATACTCTCCATCGTATTTGTCACCACTGTGACGTTTTTTTTCTCTTTCCTAGCACGCTAGCAACCATCTCTGTGGCTGCATTCCATCCCCCCCCCCCCCCCGCCAGCTTCTTCTTCATTACCTTCTAACTTGTTTCACTTCGAATTCTGTGCACTCCATCTACTTTGAATCCCCTGCACTCCATCACAGTGCTCACCTTCAAAATAAATGCAGCCACTTTGTTCTGTTTTCTTATTATCTGCTGGAACAATGCATCTATAGTAGTGGCACTGTAAGCAATTTATCCAAAAGAAGAATAAAAAACATGCACTCAGTCGGTGCTTTAGGTTGCTGTATATTTTTATTTTCGGCGCGAGATAAATGGAATATGATTTTTTTTCTTTATTCACAGAGATGGGGTACACTAAGGGTGTTTCATTGCATCTCCTGTGTCCCTTTTTTTTTCTCACATTTTATGTAAACATGCCAAACAAATGTCGGGCCTGCGTGGAGCGTGCAGCACAGTCACAGCGAAAGCTAGAAAAGTGGCTTTTCAGAGCCTTTTCTAAACTCACTGCTACAAGCACACTGCCAAGTACCCTCTACGTTATAAATAATCATAATTTTTGTGTAGTTGGCAAGCATTCACTATGCTATCCTTCGTCTTTGGAAAAGCGAAGTATCCACTACACACTTGTTAGTACTTTTGTGCAATTTTTTATGCAGTGACTGACGATGACAAAGAATTAGGCCTGAGATGGGTATGCACAACAGTTGACCAAGAGCACGTTTTCTAATGGGATGGAGCATTGGACGACGCACTCGCATGCAATTCGCATTGTGTGACGCCTGGCTAGTTTGTTGATGTTTAAACCACTTTATTACTCATATTAACGGGATTCCTTTTCCGACATCAAGCCTGCCTAAGGCCGTGATGATAGTTATAGCACGAGAGCAGAACAATGCCCAAGGGACAAGAAGGAGACGAAGCAGACATCTCCTTCTTGTCCCTTTGTCGTCATTCTGTTCTCGCGCTATAACTAACATCATGTCATACCAACTAGCCCAAACCGCCACACGCCTAACGCCAGTTTAGAAATGAGTTCTAAGCACTGGCGTGGCTCTGTGATAAAATACTGGGCTGGCATGCAGCGGACCCTGGTTCGAATCTCATTGTATCATTAGCATTTTTATTTACCGAGTTTCTTTTTCTTTTGATACTGGTTACGGACAACGTAGGGGGCGGATGACAACTACGGCGTCCCGCCTGACCCGTGTTCTGATAAATCTGATCTCATACAGCTTTCGCAGTAAAACAGAATTGTACAGCAAGAATTTAATCGTACTGACAGCCATTCAGTGAGGTGACCTGCACCCTGTAGAGCAGAGGTTCACAAAGTGGGTGCCATGGAATCTAATGGCGAATTCCATTGAAAGAGCAGGAGTACTCAAAAGCACGCTTAAAGTGCTCTCTTCAGAACCGGCGTGTTTCAGTGGTCGAACAGGTGCAGGAGCACTGTCATCTAATGGCAGAGCGAGAGTGCTTTTGCTGCGCCGAGAGCAGTCAGGAGCAGTTTGCAGTGCTGTCGCCTGAAAAGCAGAGTAGGTGCAGTACGAGGAGTCACGTGGTCCTTGAACGTCACAGCCTCCAATTTTTTTTTCAGCCGGTGAGCGCGGCGGCAATGATAGCAACCATGTGTAGTTTGACACCGCTGCATTGTTCGGAAGACTGTGATGAGAGCTAGACGTTTGCCGAATGAGTCGTTGCACAAGCATACTAACTATTAGGATAATGAAGAATATGTGACTGACCGATTTCACGCGTATTTTGTTGCTGCCCCACAAAGAATATGCCAGGGCTTGGAATGTTTCAGTCACATGGTCTCCCTACTCGTCACCTTCTCACCTGCCCTCCGGGAGCGCGGCGCATTCCAGTGGCTTGTTGAGTGGCCCTGGTTTCAGTGCTCTGTCCCTCACTCCTTAGTGCCCTGCCCCTCCGCTCCTGTTCTCTCAATGGAATTCGCCATAAGGGTACCGCAGGCCCCCCCTCGGTGTTCCGCAAGCCACTGATAAATTTTTCCTAGTTCTGCACTCGCTCACCCTACGCACCCAGATGGCGATCTTGAGGTGTGATCTATCTAGGTAACCTCCACTGTTCACGCCCGAGCTTCAATAAGCACATCTCAGTGCGTAACAGAAACGCGTGAGCTGCACAATAAATCCTGCCAGCAGTTAGCAGCTAGTCAGACTCCGAAAATGGTACGCGTGGTGGCTTAAACATTGATGGCCTTATATTATACCACCATGCGCATTACGGGTATTTGATAATAGGTGCCGCTAGTGTACGTGGACAGTTGGAAGGTTTAAAAAGTAAGAAAAAGCTTGCCAGGGGATGGGCGGGGGATGGGGTTCTTAAGTACTTAATGTAGTTTAGCAGAGTTCTTTGGCACCAACTTGCTTGAAAACCCCCTGTTTTAGAGAATGTTCGCGCATCTCTTAATTCTGATATGTTGAGCAGCTTCGAATTGTCATCCAAGTTTTACAACCTTGAAAAATGTGCAGGAAGAAAGTTACCAGGCTCTAGTCTCGACGCTGAGGCAAGTCCACGAGCTGGCCAAGGACGTTCCTGGCTACGTGGGTCTTGTGGACAGAATCGTCATGGAAGTGAAAGAACTGACCACTAGCCATGCAGCATACGGCTTCTTGTTGCGGCTAGATGCATCAGCCACTGCAGAAAGGCGGCGGGTATTGGCACCACCAATCAAGCGTCCCAGAAGGCGACTTCGCACTCCAGTGCGAAGCAAGACATCCACACCTTCAATCGAACCGCTCTAGTTGCCAGTGCTTTCGTCGGAAGTTTTGTCAACGTGGCCATGTCTAGTGACTGGTGGACCATACTTACTTCGACGAGTTGTGCTATTGTTGTGACTGGTGTGAATTTGCTCAGCTAGAAACTGTTTAAACCCTTCTTTGAGGGTAAGTCATGGAAGTTGATGATTTGTACCTGCGTGTTGCAGAAAGCCGAGTTTGCTGCGAGATAAAGAAGGTATTTAAGAAGAAAGTGGTGGTGGCTGTTTTGAGCAAGGAGCTTTAAAAGGATTGCTGGAGTGGAAAGTCTTGCCAACGAGTAAAGCCGTGCAACCATAAAATGAGGACTGCGGCAGCCATCTTACTAGGGGCATGATGAGTTGTTGGCGTTTGGTGACTGAGAAGGAGGGTTTTTCCGCACGCCCGACCAGTTTAACGTGGCAACTTTTTCGGGTTATATAATGCTCAAAGTGCGTCCTGGTCTTACTAGTTTTCTTCAGTAAGCCTCAAATTCAAGGCAAATTTTATAGGAGATCAAGTCTCTGCGGATTATTTCTTTGGAAACAACTATCTTTTAATTTATATTTAACATAGCCTTTAGACTAAAATATCTTACCCACTTGATGTCCAAGTGGGCACCACCAGAAAATAGCAAATTTCTGAGATTTGTGGAGGGCAAAAGCTGGCTTCACTACAGCTGGCAAAGTATTGTGGGGGCTTCCACTCCAGCAATTTTTTAAACCTCCTTGGTTTTTAGATATGTTTTGTTTACCTTGATTATTTTTATCACTTCACAGGAATAACTAGTTTTCCCGCTTTTAATGCTGTCTGCCTGGTCTTCTGTAAAAACAATTACGATATGCTTCCTCATTCTTCGGGCCAATGCTGTCGATTTTTTTAACGCCGTCGCATTTATATTATCAATGGCGGTTCTCGCCATCACGGCTCGTGCAAATTTCTCTGAGGTCCCGACTTAGGCTTATTAGACTGTAATGTGATGGAGTACAGTTGTTGCGAACCGACTTTCTTCACCCTGTGACATTTGATACGAACGTACGCTACCATGCAGGTACGTTAGGTAGAGTATATACAGTGACTCCAGTACGGACAGATGCTGACAGCGCTTTCGTGGAAAGCACGGGCTGTCGCGAGAACCCAAGGACAAGCATGTGCGCCGCGCCACCAAATGGTCAAAACAGCTGGGCTATGAGTGGTTTGTGTCTCCTTCAAGATTGTCTATAAGAACGTATATTACAGACAGCGCTGGCGTCGCGCTCTTTTTAGAAGGCCATGATGTACGTGCACCCACTTATAGTGTGGTCATTCCTTAAAAGGGCCACCTCGCCGCGCGTCCGCCATGTTATGGCTCACTTTGAGCTTTGTTCAAATGTGCGCGAGGCGCCTGCCGCGTTGTCGCCCGGCTGGCTCGTCGTATGAGTCTCGCAAGACGACTGCATGCTGCGTGCCACAGTGCATGAACCACTGTAGGAATGGATGGAACGTTTTTTTTTTCTTTTCCAAGTGATCCTAAAAGAAGACTTTTATTGACAGTCAGCATAAAGAGTGACAAGTAGAAGTTGACGAATACCATTCGTGTATGCAGCGGCGAGTATTGAAGGTTTTATTGCTCTTTCCTATCACCTTTCCTTTGTTGCGTTGGGTACTTTGGGGGCGATTTTCGAAACGGCTTGTATAATCCTAGCAACATAGTCGCTGATGAGACTATTACAAGTTATGTGCACAGTTTGAACTTCGTGTTGGTGCGCGCACTCGTTGCGCTTTAACGCGATCTAATGTTGAGCGAACTGGCGACGCCAAATGGTTTTATGGCGTTTGAACTGTTCTAATAAATTTGCTGTTGTTTTAGGGGTGTGCATGAAAATCGTATTTTTACTGTCGCGGGTAATTCCTTTCTCTTTTCTCGTTCTTTTCATGCATGAAGGTGTGATTATAAACATCATCGCAAGTACACATAGTGTGCACGTGCGTCACGCAGCGCCCCTTTGTCACTTCCGAAATGCGCCACCGACATGCCCGGGTACCTACCGACTCCGTCGCCTACCGCTGCCGTGTTGTCTCCTCATGCTTGCGCCCGTTTAGTTTTGCCTCACGATGCCAGTTTGAGGGCTGCTAGTGAGGCAAGTTGATTTAGTAGTCCCCGAAGAGAGAGCAGAGCTTCAGGCTGTTTCTTCGCCGAAAACTATTACCTAAAGTTGAGAACGCATATTGCGATTTTCCGAAAAGTACTGGCGCGTTTGGCTGGCGCGGATGAACAACAACAAAAAAACTACTTGAATAAACTCGGTGATATTTGCATCCTCAGGTGCAACTTCATTCCGGGTAAGTGCCATAGCCAAGCACTTACCTGTAAACAGAGATAGATTACCAAGATACTGTACATACAAACTTGTCCCCGACCACTGCGTGCACAATCAGCGTGTCAGGGAGGCGGTTAAAATCGTGATGGCGATCCCGGATATTCGGGTATTGCATTGAAACAAACTGTGAAAATTGATGCGAAACAACATTATTTCCCTTTGAAGTATAGCCGATCGGTTCAAGTTGGAGGGGTCAGGATTTTGAAAAATTGATCAATTAATTCCCTAACACCGTCTCCATTATTTTCAGGGACTGCACTGTACATTAGCGTACAAAAACAGTAAAATACAAGGTGAAAAAAGTGTCGAAACACACGCGAAAAAAAAAAGTGATGACAGGCTTGACCGCGGCATGCACCACGCGAAGTCTCTATGCCTCGCATAATGTTTTCCCCGGCTGTTTCCCCAAATTTCAATCAAAGAGGCTCAACATCAGCACTGTTTAAAATATTTTTTTTTTGGGGGGGGGGGGGCTGCTACTGTGGTGGCGTGGGGCGCAGCAATATATTAATATTAATAACATATCTCTTGTAAACTTTCCTAGCTCTGCACGACGCGTTTTCGATGGGAGCTGCTGTGCTTCGCTCATTCACTCTTAAAATTGCGGCTAGAGAGTCTTTGGGTTTTCATTTGTTCTTGGGCCACGCAATTTGTAGCGAAAGCGAAATAAGGAGCCCTTGTAGGTCCTGGCGGGCAGCCGGTGTACGCGGTGGCTGGTATACGTGTCGCATATCTTGATTTTCTGGTCTTGTATCGAGTGAACAAACGAGGCCTTCGTAATATGTTGAGCTCGTTAAAGTACGACAACAAGAAACCGCAGTGCTTCCCTTTCAACATCGTACACAGCAACAAATGAACCCCCAACAAACCGCGCTGCAGCACGCGAACTGCCGTAGGTACCCAAGGAGGTACCCGGGCATGGTTGGCGAGGGCGACAACGGCGGAAGTGACATCACATGAACACTATGTATAATTAACTGCAACGATTCACTTCTAGTTGCTTTACTTTGCGGAACAAGAACGTCAAATAGTATTTTTTTCGTTGCCATGATCCGTAGAAATAATTTCCCAAGTTTACCTCCCTGAACGAACGATTTTTTGTGTACTATACACGATCATTAATTTCAACGCGGAATTCGCGGCCCTAAAATATGGCTGCAGATCCACTGAATGCTGGTGATGATGTGAAGGCCCCAAGATTCATGATGTCTACGTTCAGGTCGCCGAGTAGTGTAAAGGACGGATAGATGAATGCAGAGACGAATAGACGCACCGAAAGATAGACTTACGAACAGATGCGCGGACGGATAGACGCACGGACGAATGGATTTATGGACAATGCATGGACACAGATACACGTACGAATGAACGTACGGACGAATGGACAGGTATGCATGGTCAAACGGACAGATGCGCGGACGGACGCACGAATGGACCGGCGGATGCATGAAGGTGTGATTATGAAATGGTCGCGTCTATAATGAACTGCACCAATTCACTCTGAGTTGTTTTTTCTTGCGTAGCGCAAACTACAAATAGAAAATTCGGTGTTGCAACTCACATAGCTCACAATTACATGTTTTGACTGCATGTATCGGCCCGCGATAACTCGCATGCCGCTACAAGCCGTATACATCCGCTCAGTAATATATATATATGTACACTAACTCAATGATATGCACTAACATTCGCCAATTCCTCTCCCATTTCATGCGTTGAGATGCATGCAAGTGCGTTCAGACTTCTGTAGTGTTTAAGTGTAGTCAAAAGCGGCGTCATTTTTTGTTGTTGTTGTTGTTGGATGCTCCCACGGCATCAACGAGGAGCGCGTGACGGTACAGCCCGCGCACTCAACGTACAGATTTTTCCCATAGTGCTTCGCGTACCCGCGGGGGTTCTGGAATTGTTTGAAAATGATCTATTGTGGCAATAAGACCTCATGATCGTCTGCGTACAGCTGTACAAGACCTAATTTGTCTTCGCATAGTTATATCCCTGGGATTTTTTATACCACCTGGTGTTTTAAACGTGCACCCAAATCTGGACTCACGGACCTACAGCATTTTCGCCTCCATGAACGGTAATGTCGTGCTCTGATATATTTCATTTTAGTTATCACTCCGTATTTAATCTAACCGTCAAGTCTGCAGGCGCTGTCGTCACATTTTTATTTGTCTCTGATTCATATGATTCACTAGATGCGAAGAAAGACGCGGGCATTATATTGCGCGTCTCAGTGCATCGAATTTCGAGAATTCGAGCTAAAAGAATGTCCGACGTACATTAAAGCATATATTCTGTGCCCTAACTGTACATGCATAATTGCACTGCTTTTCGTTTCAACTGTCCCAAGAATCATGCATGTTCATTACGTTTTCTGATACACAGTGTCCCGCATCTGTAACTTGCCTGAATAAAGCTGACCTGTCCTGCCTTCAAAAAAAAAAAAAAAAAAGCACCACATGAACATGTTCACCCACAAAGTGTAAAAGTAAATAGTTATGCCTGCAGCTGTGCACCACTCAGCCGCAGCCAGCGGCTTCGCCGTCATTACGTTCTGTAACATTAGGTTCATTATAAGTTCTGCAATACTGTTAGGCGCGAAACCTTCGAATTATTGTTGCGATGTGTGCCTACAAATTCATAACTAGCACCATCCGGGAACTATTTTGCGTTTGTGAAGGCCATTTCAGCACAAAGTGTCTTCACTCGAGAGACAAAGGCAGCGAAGCCGCGCACTGAGAAGTAGGCCAAGTAATGACGACCACTGTAGCTGACGACGCACTTGTCTCCACTCTGAGCGAAGCGTAGAGAGAGAGGTTGAGGAAAGGAAGAGACGCAGCTTCACGGCTCAGCCAATTGTAGTATGTAGGTT